AAATAAATAATAAGTCAAAGGGAAAGAAGACGGGATGCAAAAGCTAAGGATAGTCAAGAAGTTTGACTTTAGCAGCAGTGACTTACTCCAGCCTTCACAACAAGAAACTATCCCTTCCTGCCCTATTGTAAACTACAAATCCCTCCCACCCTGATTCTTTAGAACAACTTCTGAAATTCATGTACAAGCTATCACAACCTGAGTTTCTACATTCCAGTTCTACATTTCAAAGACTTAGCTTTGACTGCTAAGTTGGACATTTGGGGATTTGGGCGAATAACCATTTCTCGGAAGATTTCCTTTAAAGTGATACGGGGCTAAATGGAAGATTAATGTTGGAAACAAAAGCTCTCAAATTTGTGAGAAAAAGTGAGGAGGCAAGGCAATGAGGGTGTACGTGTTCATGCTGCCACTCAAAATATTAGACATAACTTAATGCGACTGTTATCACTGTCAGTCCTGTTTGAAACAGGAAAGGCTAAAGGAAAATCTGCTCTTGACCAGGGATCCTGCTGTCCAGCGTTTACAAGGGAGAACACCCAAACCATGGCTCATGTTCCCCACACAGAGGGAATCATTAGGCACATAGACGAGGGAGTCTTGCTGTGGAATCTTGGACATTCTGCCCATTGGCCTTCAAGACACTGGTTTCCCAACAAAATTCCAGTCTACATCTAGAATGCTCAGTCTCTGAATTCAGGTGCAAAAGGGTCACAATGGGAAAAAGTGAACATGATACAAATATGCAAACAGATGAAACTTGGCATCTTCTTTCCTGGGCTTGCACATAGGAGATCGATTTGTCTGCATTTTCCTTTGCAAAGACCAGAGGGAGGACTTGATGGACAGGGATGGCTTTCAGTCTATTGTGTCGGGAAGTATACTACTTTAAATACATCTTCCATCCAAGAAGGACTGCACAGGGTTGAATGTAGTCCTCACGTGGAGAATGGAAACATTAACTGCCACGTGACATTAAAAAGTTTTGGTTATTTAGCAGATTTTAAGCAAATTATTCATACTGCACCCTACTTATAATTGTTCTATTACCATGTGCCTATATATTTATACATAAACACACAAACACACTACATATGTGCATTTGTATATGTATAAATCAAGTGTTTATAACATATATATATAAATACATGAAAACACGACAAGCAGAGCTGACATGAACACGCGTGCATGAATTCTGGTAGAATCCTTGGTAGCAGCGTTCAAAGTGTTTTCTAAATGAGGCAGATTATGACACTGTTTCAGCGTACACGAGTCAGCAGAAGTGGGCACGAACACGCATGTTACATCTCAGCTGCTTATACCCATCGTGTTTCCCTTTGTTCTAACGTCACATCCCTTTTCTTGGACATTGTAGCATGCTTTCTTGCCTGAATGTCTCGTTTGTATATTAGCATCTCTAGTGGACAGAATCATGAACTTATAAAATCAGAGTACTTGGATGAAGCCCATGTTTGGCCAGTGAGCTTCTCCGAGTCTTGATTTCTTCACCCATGAAAACTATGAATAATTTGCGAATGCATGTGAAGAGACTTTAGAAACTATGAAACAATTTAGAAATGGAGTGACTGTCAGAGTGTGTTTGGGTTTAACACGCTTGATGGCAAGCCATATTTGGGAATCAACCCATTTTAAAATAAGAATGTTGCATTTCTGAAAATTAAAATACCATGAGAAAGAGAGTACTGGAGGAACAACAGTATTTTAAGATATCCTGTGGCTCATTGACTACTTTAAAAGCAATCTGATGCTGTCTCAATGCAAAATAACTCTGAAGTCAGCACATATTCCTGAGACAACAGAGAATAATAATAATAATAATAATAATGCAGTATAAATCATTATAAAACTTTGAACTTGCATAGACTCTTTCGTGTTAAAACCTTCAGACACTTGTCAAAAAGTATAAGGAAATTCTTTTTTTTTCTTTTTTTTCCTGCAGAGAAAAATACAAAACTGGAATGGAATGCTCCCATATTCTCATAACAAATCTTTCATGTAAAACTGCACAGCCCTCCATAAATTTGACCTCTTAAAGTATCACCTTTGCTCTCTCTTAAGTAACCTGCAGCTTTTTCTCCCAGAGCAGCTGGTTAGACACACAGAGTGACAAATCTGTGTAAGTTTTTAGGCCATCACTGATGGAATCTAGAACAGTCTGTACAAATCTGCCCCTTCTTTACTTCTTCACAGTTCCATAGTGTTTTAAACAGTACCATGGGTCCTTAATATGATATATATGTGTCCGTGTATATCACGGAGATATGGCTTTCATTATATTATTATATGTATTCTGGAGGGCTTTATTTTCACAAAGAGCTCCCTTCTCTCCTGGACCAGTGCAGAACTGAAAGGACCATAATGTTTGCCTCGTCCAACCCCTGGCTTGAACAGCTGATGCTGGATTTCCTTTTGTTCTCTGTTAATTTACACATTCAGTTTTTTTGGGAACTGGCTTCCAAAGCCTATAATAGAGAACAAAGTGCTCCAGAAATGAATGGGCACAAGTAAAACCAATCTAGAGCTCTTGCACCTTCAGAAATAAACACTAAATAAAATGACCTAAGGTGAACTAAGCTCACTCTCTTCTATCCAGTTCATGTTATAAAGATGCTGCATGTAGCGAACTTCCCCTCACAGAGGGGAACAGGGGAACAGACTTGGTATAACCCACTACCCAAATAACTGTGAATTTCTTCTTAAATTTACACTCTCTTTCTGAAAAACCAATGACTTTGCCCAGAAGTACAGCTCCACGCTCAGTCTGGGCATGGTCTCCCATTGGCATACTCTGCCATTTTTTAAACTTTTTAATGGAGCATAGAGAAACAAAACAGCATGTTGACAATGGAGTACATTAGAATGAAACCCTTCTCCAAACCAGAGCCCAGAGCAAGAGAGTTGACCTGTGCACACTGAGCATGAACTCGTGTGATGTCCCCGAGTGAGCATTCCTATTCTTTGGGGATGGATTCTGCCTGCCCCACAGTCTGTGGCTTTGACATACTGAAGATATCCAGGCTTCAGGGTCCAGATTAAGTAAAACCTATCATCACCAAATGCACAAGGCAGAGATGTTGTTTTCAGCTAATGAGCCCAAAACTCCACTAAATTATGTAAGTTAGACCTTTTATGGATCTGCTCTACCTATTGGGCACACATCTGGAGCAGCAGTTTCTGCATACAAGGTATTAATTGACAAAGACCATGCACAATTTTGTTTGCACAGTTAGAAGGGCAGGTAGGAGTGGAGGGTTGGGGTTGAAGGGAATTGCTGTCTGAAAAGTTCAAAGTAAGAGAAACTTGCCTCCAAATTGTAAGTCCTGTCTTTATCAAGTCCACAGAATCCCCACCTGACCCTAGAATGATCTCTGGACAAGAATCCACTTCTTTTCAACAAAAGCTCGGTAGATAATGCTCAAGGACATGCCAGTGTTATCATTATGACCAACCACACGGACTGAGTATATGAAGTGCCGTCTTGTGTCTCATGGAAATCATCTTTTTTTTCCTACTGCACACCAGTGTTTGTGATGGGAAACTCTGTCCATGGCACAGAGTTCAGTGTTCCTTTTACTCCTCAGGATGGTCCTCAGGGGAAGGTGCCAAACACGTTCCTCCTCGCTGATGGTTGCTGGGTGTTCCTAGGTAGGGCTGACAGTTGATTCCACTGCTTTTGCCTTTGTTTCTCCCATACTGTGGTCTAGAAGAAATCTTCTCTCTCTTTGTTTTCCATCTCCCATAAATAAAGTTTTCCCAGATTGAACATAAGTTTTCCTTTTCATACACAGGCTAAAGCCATCCAAAAACAATAAGAAGAGTAATAATAATAAATAAATAGAAGTGAATCCATAGAAACTCTCGATGTCTGTACAGCGGAAGTGACAAAGTTTAAGTCAGATATTTGTTTTCCCTTTTTTTCATCCACATCAAAGGCAGGAATACATCAAGGCATTGTCAGTTGTGGTGGGCAAACTGGAGTGTCTGCTGATATAACAAATTAGGTTTGTTAAGGCCTTTGTCTATGCACAGTTAATAGGAACGCAGAAGCCAGATTGATCAAGAAGAGGGGAAGGACCATGAAGAAGGGAAAACGGGGGAAAAACAGAATGGGAAAAAGGAAACAAACCAAAGGAGATGGAAAGAGAGAAAAAGATACCGCCAAGGGACATTAATACTGTGTCTGTGGATGGAGAGGTGCACACTGCTTCCCTCTGAAAGCATCTCGGTGTCTTGTTAATACTGCCAGAGTGAAGGACAGCAAGGTCATGACATCCAGTGGCAGTTAAAGATGTTCATCCTGTCGGCCAGTCTGAGGAGTGAGTTGGAAAGGATCGATCTGGGGACAAGGGTCCTAGCCTAGGATATCCAGGTAGACCGGAGATGCCTTGGCCAAGTTCTGCAGGAGGGTGTGGATGCCTTTGATGTTCTTCCTCATGTGTGGCTCCCGCTGCCAGCACCCCAGCATCAGCTCATACACCTCTTGGGGGCATGTGCGAGGCCTTTGCAGGACTCGGCCCTGAGTGATGCATTCAATCACCTGGGGAGAGATCAAAGGCAAGATCAGCAGGAGGAAGGCCATGATCATGGGATAAATGTCTAGGAGAGAGAGGAACCAGGAAGGGAGAGGAACCGGGGACGGGAACCTTTTTTTTCTTTAACTTTCACAAAGTCAAATAAAATCATTGTACTTATTTCTTGGGTATGGTGTGATAATTTGAGACACACACACATACACACACACACACACACACACACACACACATATATCTCATACACACAGATACACACATACACACACAAACACACACATACACACATACATACACACACACACACACACACACACACACACATATATACACACATAATATAATCACTGTCTTTTAAATATGTGTATATATTACATATACACACATGAAATGCAGTGATTAAATCAAGGTAATTAGTATGCCTATCTCCCTAAACATTTACCATGTCTTTGACTTGGGAATCTTTAAACTCCTCCCTTTTAATTCTTCATAAATTCCTGTCCTTAATAATTGTTGAATACTATTCTGCTAATGCGGTTGTATAAGCTCCTATTGAGGGACCACTGATAACTCACCAATTGACATTCTGCACTAAACTCTTACCTTGTAGCTCTTCATACAATATGTAATAAACCTTGCAAATCTAGTCACACTACAGTGCTGCAGGTACTAGAATTCATCCCCCTGTGCACCTGGGTGGTGCTACCATCATGCAGCTTTTGTCTATACTCTGCCTCAAACCTTCCCTTTCTAATCTCTAGTGAGCAAGTCAGGGCTTTTGGTTTTAGTAGGGTCTTGCTATAGACTTCAGGCTGCCTGCAAACTCACAGTCCTCTTATCTCAGCCTCTAGTGTCCAGGGATTACAGGCATACATCACCATGCCTAGCTAGAAAGGAGTCTTTAAAAAGGTAGTTCACTCTATTTGTCTCACCAGGGAGCAATCTTTAAAGACTGGTATAAATCATGGTTGAATTGATTGGTTTCTAGCTATCTCTCTGATCACTATAATTTCATACAACTGGTAAAGAAATGATTTATTCACAAGGAGTGCTCCTAAATTTCATGTAGAAAGTCTCGTGGGTTTTACTTGTCACAGGCCAGGGATGAAATCTGATTTACTTTTGTGTAAGTCATTGACTGGCTGCAAACCCCCAGCAACAGAAGTGAGCAGGTACATTGGATATTAGGGAATGCCTGACCAAGATGCTGTGCCTCAAACACAGACATGCTGCTGGCTATCTGGACCCATGGACTCCAGATGTTCAACCAAACAACTGTAGACTGAAAACATTTGAAAGAAATTTCCATCTATACTGAGCATATGTGGGCTTTTTTGCCCTTGTCGTCATTCCCCAAACAAAGAGCATAAAAACTATTCACATTGCTCGCATTTGTTGGATCTTATATGTAAGCCGGTGATAACCTGCACAGAAGGAGAAGCACAGGTGGCATGCAAGTACTGCATCGTTCTGTGTAAGGAGCTGGAGCATTCTAAGCTTTGGTATCCAGGGAGTTCATGGAATCGACTCCTCAGGGATTCCAAGGGGAAACTATACTGACAAAGGGATCAGAAGAGGCAAACAAAATGCTTCAGCTTTTCACTAATAGCTGATGCTCTAGTAAAACCTGCAAATAAGGAGAATGCCTCAACTTCGTGGAACAATGCTGATACCCCCACTACAATGCGACAGCTGCGTCAGTCATTCCTCGTCCGTCATTAGAGAGCAAGGCTGCACCAGCGAGCATCGAGCTTTTCTTTTTCTCAGAGTATTCAAGTTAGACTACGAAATGCAGGTTCACAGCAGGATATTTAGAGAAAGCAGCTGCTTTCAGCAAAGCCACATGTGATCATGCCCTTGCCCCTAGCCCAAGGCCCTGGCTGCCTCTGCGGTTTCAGTGCTAGTGCTGTGAGTGGAGGGAGTCTCTCTTGAATCTTGCACACCTCATTGTTTGATAGTTGGTACCAGGGCTGCTTGCCATAGGTGAAGATCTCCCACAACACGACCCCAAGGCTCCAGACGTCACTTTCTGTGGTGAATTTCCTGTACATGATGCTCTCTGGAGGCATCCAGCGAATGGGCAGCATCGTGTGGCCACCAACCTGGCAGGAAAGGGATCAAAGGGAGTGTCAGTCACTTGGAACCACACATGGAGGGTGATGTGCAGGAGATGGTTCTTCCTTCTTGGTTTATAAACACAAAGGGGTCATGTAATTTCTTCATCATCTCAAGTAACAGAGACAGAAGGCAAAGAATGATCAAAACAACGTTCTAAATATTATTTGCAATTCTCCATCACTCAGAACAAGGTAGGAGAAGAGACAACCAGGTGGAAGTTCACCTTGGCTTTAAAAATTCACACATGTGGCTTTTGTTGGGAGGATGGCCCAGTCTATGAATTAACACTAATTATATTAAATATATAACATTTATTCATGCTAATGATAGTTTGACCGGGATAGCAAGAAAAGGGCTCTGTGTCCCAACTTAGTGGTCCCAAATGGAGGTTTTTGTCCCCATTTTACTTGTAAGTAACTGAGGTGTACACTGCTTTTTGACCCAAAGAACTAAGCTTTTGACTCTCCTCTACCATAAGGTGCTGGCTACTTAGCTTATTTACAGTGTTAAATAAATATATATTTAAAGAAAAATGCCCATTTTAGTGAAAACACATGCTGGGGCATCAGCCAGCAGTTGCACTAGCACAGATGACAGAGACTTGATTGACAAAGGAGAAAAGTTTGTGATTTTCTGTTTCATAGGGAAATAATGTCATTTTCAGGTTTGGAGCATATCAGGCGTTTTGGTTTTAAAACTGTGATAGAATTCCTGTAGAGTAGCCCTGGGGCCTGTGAGGCCCATTTCTCATTCTGGCAATCCCCTGGCACCACCGGGCCACAGGCCACACTGACACCCGACAGCATAAATTAGGCCTCAGGAACAACTGTCGGCTCCATGTGACAGTAGGTGAACGCCACGCAGACTGACTGCTCAGTTGTCACTCTCAATATTGATTTGGGGCTTTTTATATGAAGGAAATGAACTAAAAACATCTGATATGTGTCCCTTCACTCCAGAACCCAAAGGAGCTGAAGTGCTAGAGTTATCCAGTAGGCTCAGTCGTCTTCACAGATGCTTCTAGAATCAAAGAGATCACAAAAGTGTGAAAGGGGCCATGTGCCCACTCTCCCCTGTGCAGTGAGTTCAAGTGCGAAGTGGAGGCACCACTTGCTGGCTGAGGGCTAAGGTGTCCCACATCTTTACTCTTCAGCTCTTAGTAAACCCAGCACCCAGAAAGGTCAGTTGGCCTGAGTCAGTGTTGCACTCTGTAACTCCTCCCTCGGCAACAGGACAAGATTTGATGTCACATGAGCACATGCTTCTCATGTGCACCTGCCTGTGTGTCTGACAGCAGTGACGACGTTTTCTCTTAGGGTCAGTATTCAAACTTCAACCAACGCGGCACAGACCCTGACCAACCAGAAAGGATGCAGATGTCAGGATGCTGTCCTGACCATGTGGCAGGACATCCACCCTGTTAACCCTGTTGTCTCCATCTGCTCAGGACTTTGGCAAAGGGAAGCTGCTAAAATACACAAAGTCAATGTTTCCAGATGGACCCAGGGTCCAATGGTGAAATGATTCCTTCCAGCAAAGGCAACCTTCACCACAGCAAAGCAAGGGCTGTTCTGTGGTCAGGCAGAAATTGACTCTGCAACTCCCCAAAGCTTGGTACACTTCTCCTCCTGTTACATGACAGAAAAATCTGAGAACATGGCCACACATATTTTTCTAAGATTAACCCCTGTAGTATAGCATTCCCTGTCTCCTTGACGTTCTCTGAAAATATACTTTGGGAAATTCTATGTAGTTACAAAACAGCTCCTCCCGGCCCCCCCTAATCTCATGAACATGCAGAGGACCCAAGATTTGTGGTGGCACCACGAGGCTGTACATAATGATATTGCTCCTACCACCTTAAGATTTGCCTAAGATAACACTCTGACAGATGGTAAAGATAAGACTAAGGTCTAGATATTCCTACCGGCCCTTTTCACCTACATAGCATCTACTGGCGACCTACTAAAGTCCTAAATGCAATATTTCTCTGCTTGAAGACGGTGTGCATAAACAGGGATGGAAGAAAATCAAAGGGGAGAAATTTCCCATCCCTACAGACCCTCTTTTCCTATTAATTGTAACTTTTCCTTTCTCTTAAGAAGGCTACCATAATATTAATTCATCACAGCATGAGGCAAGGGTACAGCTGGCTCCACTGTGTGCTATTTGGTCCCTGTTATTTCTCATTAGATAAAACAGATCTCCAGGGGTCCAAGTGAGACTTACAGAGTGTCACCTCACAATGAAGTCGGCAACTTTGGTTTCTTTCTGTGTTTGCTGAGTTGTAGTGTTAATGCATAGGTGAAGAGGGGTATTTTGAACAAAAAGTTCAGGTGTCTGCTAAAATTTCTGAAAAAAATTTATATTTGGGACATTCTTCTTTGGGAAGGAATCTGTTATGTCCTATGCAGATTCTTTGTGTAAGAGCTATTTATAAATGTGACAGCTTTGGCTTCACAGAAACCCTAAAAGGAAAGGGTACAGGGGTAGGCAACTGCAGTAGAGAGAATTTCAGCACTGTGAATGGAACAAGAGAGGAAGGATTTTGGTGCAAAAGACATAATATTCTGTTTATGAAAATATTGAAGTTATAATCCTGATTTGTGATCAGCATAGAGTTGAGGTGTGAGCCAATATGGTAGGTTTTGTATGACAGTCTCTTAGAACGTGAGCTGTATCTCCAAAGTTTTTAGGTCAAATGTATCACATAGTCTCTAACCTGTAACTGAGTCTCTTCCAATTCACAAAGCACAAAATCATACAAGTATCTGAGAAGTTTAACAAACAAGAATAGGTTTAGTTTTTCTAGTTACAAAAGCACATGAACATATGTTTGTAAGAGTGGTCGCCTAGAATTCAGACATCTACAAACTTTGGGGTGTGTTGATCTGTCAAAGCATTGGGCTTTATTTGTGCAAATACCCGCAGAAGTATACAGTGTTCACCACTAACTTGTAATATTAGACACTTTGGGCTCTGTAAGTATGCCTATCTATTTCCTACTTGGATAATCTTGACAAGAGGCAACACTGCTCTTCTGTCTAGGTTCTCTACAAACTGTCGGTAACAATGTGTAACTTCCCCAGGTTTTCATAAGGTCAGTACTGAAGCTGACATTTGTGAGAGTGCTTGATTTTAATTTTTATTGAGCTTTTTAAATTTCATACAATATTTCCTATTCATATCCAAACCCCCTCCCCCATCCATGCCTCTCCCCTCCCCCCACCAAACCCTATGCACTCTGCCATACATGCTGAGTCCTATTCATTCAGGTGTTTGTACCCAAATGTCCTTCAGTGTAAATGCGTCCGCTGGAGTCTAGTCAGCCCATCCAGTGGTCATACGTAAGTCAGACTCTCCCTCACCCAGCAGCAACCAGTCTCAAATAGTTCTTTATCTAGTGCTGACCCGCCACCTATTTCTCACATCCTCTTAGGGCCCTTGTTTAATTGGGCTGACGTGGGTCCCACATTTGAGTAAGAGACTGTAGAGTGTAGGATGGGACTTCTATATGGAACCTCACCCACCCACGGCTCAGGGACCATCACGGAAGAGGAGGCACAAAGATTGTAAGAGACAGGACTGGTTCATGAGCACAGGGAGGTGGAGGCTTCCAGGCCACTCGAGGCTTGCTCATGTGAGAGTGCTCTCTAAGTCTTAATGCCTAAATATTTCCAAAGGTCAGCTCCTTCTCAGGTGTGCTATTGCTTCTCCAATGGGCAGCAGTCATTCTGTATGCAGGAGGGGGTGGAGTCAACACAGGGGACTCCCACACCCTTCAGTTGCAGATTGTACCCCTGGCTGTGCAGATTGTACCCCTGGATGCTTTGTCCCCCATTGCTAGAAAAAGTTCTTATTTCCTCTAAAGGAGAGGCAAAGGAAAGGTCCACATTTTGATTTATATGTTTTCCCATTAGATCATTTATTTTATGCTTGCTTCTCTTTGGGCCAGATTCTTTTCTTTTTCACTTTAATTCTTCTAGGACTCTCATTGGGGGTTTCACATATGCTGTGATAAATAATGCCTTCCTTGTTCTGTTGTCAAATGGTGAGTGGTGGGACAATCTTACCAAAGTTCAGGCAGGGTTCATAAGTTTTCAGAATCCATTTAGACCATTTATGAGCACTTCCCTTCAAGCTTTGCCTCAGGATTTTGGAGCATGTCATAAGAATAGGCCCCCTTAAAAAAACAGTCACAGTTGTAACAAATTGCTGTCATATTTTTGTCACAGACACTTGATGGCTTTCAGGCCATACAAAGCCACAAGCTGAGCAAGCTCAAGTACAAGGAGATGCCTGTTCTGTACTGTGCTATTTGGCAACCTGCCCTCACATCCTCGCTTAAATGCTTGCAAGATTGAATGTGATCCCCGGTATGACACCAGGAGTCTAATTTCTTCCCCTGGTTGCCCACCAGTTCATGGTTCTCTGGGGACTTGCCAAGATTCAGGTTGGGGAAGGCTGTATGCTCTTCATTACAACAGCTGAGCAAAACAGATGGAAGATTCAAAATCCAGTTAGCCAGGGAGTTGATTCCACTTGCAATTTTGATTGTCTTCAACCCAAGGGACTAAGTTTCTCGTTCCAGCCTGGATTGGTTCCTTTTGATCAATAGCATTAGGGCAGTTCTTGGTTACTTCTAGTACAACACTCTATGGTTCTATAATTACCCACCACCACTTTGCCATGCTAATTATTCATCAACAGACAGTGTTTCACCTTCTACAAAGATTCACATTCAGTTACCACAATATCCTCAACAGTTACTTTCTGGAAAAGACACTGGCCAGTTGGCCAAAGCTACATACAAACTCTCCTGCTAAACGTCCTGATGGGCCACTTTGTGCTTCTGGGTTTCTCTAGGGTCCAGCGAATGTTCTGCATTCCTCCAACAGGCCAAATTATGGCTCCTCACTCAGAGAAAACTTACTTATCCTCTCAGAAGGTTGGATATCCCTTTCCTTCCTGCAACCAAAGTTCT